CATGTGTTCATTATATGTATTGCATACAATCTCATTAAAATCCGTTCATTAGGTTTTTTTTGAAATTTGGCATAATTCGCAAATTTTGTTAATTTTGCACAAGAGTGTAATATTGGTTTTTGATGTATCCTCAATACAGCTCCTCTATTTAGGGTTCTTCTTTCATGTGGGAAATGCCCTGATTGAATTTTCCTGTGGAAGGGAATTTGTAGCAACTTTTTTTGTCACAAACTTCATTGGAAGGGGCAAGATAACTTGCCTTACAACGTTGTCATTCGATGTGTTATCAAAACAGCTCATGTCATGGATCATATAAGAGTTCTAAAGGCTGTTGGGAAAGCTCGTACTTACATATTACTCGCTGACTTTCTAGCGCCCGGAGACAACTGAAGAATTTGCGCCCCTTCCTGTGTGCCAGAAATGGAAAATATTTTATTAAAAAATTTCGTAGCATCGATTTGGCGCCCCTTGGATGCTGCTCTCGGGGACAGATGTCCCCCCTTCCCCCACCCTAGCTACGCCACTGATTACTCGTGTATGGCTTAATTCTTGAAGTTGCTCAGCTACAGCAACTATAGCTCGATAGCGTTTAATAGAAAAGCTTAGTCCCTGAAATGAACGTTTTTATTATAGGCCAGAGATAGTCAGATTTCATGTCAGTAGAAACTTCGAAAACATTGTACAATGTACTGAACATTCTTCTTACCACCCCTGACAAACAAAGCAAAGCAAAAAACATTCTTCCTCAATTAAAAAAAGAAATTTTTGTTTTCTGATTTTGATTATAACTGTCAGCTGATTTTAATATAAATTGAAAAAAAAGAAGACACATGACATAAATATGAATACTAACTAACATAAATATGAACATTATTAACATAATACAGTGATTTAAAGACACCGAAATAACGATTTTCTTTACTCTTTACTCTGTAACAAATGAAACGAAACAGAGCTCTCTAAAGAGAAATTGCAAATCCGATACATAAAAATTATTTTAAATAGTTTTTCTATTTAACAGAAATCTTGCATAAAAAATAATTTTAAAAATAAAGCTGCTAAGTATTAAAAAAAGTATGTCGTATCATGATTTTTTTTTTTCAATTCGGAATAATATTTCAAAACTAAGCCTATAAAGATGAGAGCCGCAATTTGGCCTTGCTTATCAGAGGCTAGTACAGCCCAGGTGACTGGGGTGAAGGTTAGAGTCTAGTTTCCATTTAAATAGTGATTCTGGCCGTACTTTCGTCTAAAGTAACTTGCAATCCTCAACTTTCCATCGCATTTCTATGAAAGATATAATATTCATAGTGGCATTTACTTACTTGAGGAGGAATCACGAGAAAAGCTGCTAGTTTTCCAGACTTCGTGGCACCGTGTAGTTTTCAAACTCATTCTTAAATGATGTAGTAATGTGGTGTAGCACTTTATCCTGCTGAAAGAAGGTCCTTCCATAAGGTGATGCCATTATCTATAAAAAGATGCACATGGTCTGTAATAATTATCAGGTAGATGACAGATATATGGAAAAGAAACTTACTAATATCAAATAGCCCCACCAGGTGGCCGAATAGTTAAGACCACTGCTATTTCGATCCGCATTCGAACCCAGGCAAACAGGCATGGGTGTTAATCGTGGTTTTCCCCACGTTTAAGTGAAGCCATTTTTTTCCTAAAAGGCACTCCACGAAGGCATCCTTCGCTTTTACGTATGTTTTTTCCGTATCAAAATAACCTTATCTAACATCAAATGTAGGTAAAGAACAAACAAATAACCTTTGATTGATGTTGGTTTCACAGAAACACTCTCTTGATGTCGATGCAGGCAGGTATGAGGTCTTTCTTCTTCAAGAAATAAAAATATTCTGCAGAATACCATTGCTCCTTAAAAAAGGAGGTATTCCATGTCTGGCTCTATAAAGTTTTCTTCTAAAAACAGCATCGATCAAAGCATGGATTTTAAAACAATTTATACGGGGTTGATGCCAAAGTTTTTAGACACGAATTCGGCTTACTTGAAAACTTTTCAAAACTCTGCTCAGGTCATTTTACATCCTTGATGGCTTCGTTTTGTTCCGTCTGTTACCTTATATTTTTTCATATAAAAGATGCAGCTATTCATAAGGTGAAATGACCGCCAGTCAGAACTATGCAGTTTCTGAACACTGTATAGTTCTGACCTGGGTTCGATTTCAGGCGAACTGGCTTGCTGCATGGGCGTGCAAGCTTTTATGCTTTCGTGTTTTTCCCCATGTGTAACGTGTATATGCTTTAAAAATTCCTTCATGAAGGCATCTACCACAAAGGCACGCTAGGAAGGTGGGAGAAATACCTTATAACCCTTATGTGCTTTTCCATAAGCAGCTAAGCCAACCAAACCACGAGGTGCAACAGAAAGAGCTACTAATCACATTAGACAATTATTTTCCAGTTTTGATACCACATTTCTCATCATGTGGGTAGTCGAGGTTGCAAGATTACTCGAAGTGGCTTGAGCCCCATGCGGCCCTATTTACAACGGTGCTGTGAATTATTATTTATGTTACAATCATTATTATTTAAATTGCATATCAAACAGCATGGGTACTTGAAGAGGTATATATCCCATTTACACGAAGGTTTGACGCACGCTTATTATAATTCGATTCCCGGAAGTCTTCACAAATTATTTACCACTCATTTGATAATCGACGATTGCTGCATGTTTCGTAAAGCTAATGGTCGCATTCAGATCTCCGTGGAATCGTATCATTGGCAGCTTTCAATAATGCATGATTAAGATGCACCTATTTTATTTATTAAATTCGTTGTTTAATAAATGTTCCACTCAATGAGTGCGCTGACAAAATGCATGCGATATTATCAATCAATTATCAGAATTATAATATTTTTAATCACAAGCACTTGCAAGATGTTATACAACAAGTATAAAAATCTGATTTTAGTTTAATACACGTTGTCTTCATTTTGTTTCTTCTAACTCACTAAAATTCCAGAATAAACTGATAAAGATTTTACCAATAGCTTCACGTTTTCTCTGTAGTTTCCAACAAAAATTTTTGACTAATTAAAAAAAGCGTTTCCGGCCTAACGGCATGCAAAGTTTATGAAAAGGATAGTTTTGGGAGGGTTTCCGAAAATCACGTTTCCTGTTTACTAGTTTTGTAAAATATATTTTCTGACAAGGCATTCACCTCGAAAAGAACACCCTGTGTTGTCAATTGTTTAAAATTTGTCAACATTCTTTTAAGGATATGAATTCATAGAAAAAATAAATGAAGCAAAAATTAAGCTATAAAACGCTATCAAATTAAAAGAAAAAGAGAATACATTTTAATACTGATTTTAAAATTTTCTTTTGTTCAGAGCTTAGTATGAATTTTAAACAAAAAAAAAACATGAAAGGATAATTAAGTATGGATTAAGGATGAAAATTAGTATTTTACAACTTTTCATTTTTCATTTAATAAAGCGTAAGTAAAAATCGAATTTTTTTCAGCGATCCTAATAAAAGCCTATATTTTAATGACTTACAAATATATTTTGATTCATAAATGACTACTTTTTTATATCAAAATGTTTTACTGATGAGCAACTTATGTAATTAATATATTGTATAAAGATCTTCGACTCATTCTTTCAGATGATAGGATAGAAGCTTTCTTTCATTCACTGCTTCTTTAAACAGTCTGAAACTTTCAAATTTTCTTCCTTATAGTCCTTATATTTTATTTCTTATATTCCATTATACTTACTCTATATTAAGGAAATAAAGTTACAGGATCAAAGAAGGACTCTAGTTGAAAATTGGAATGTAACTTAAGCCATTAAATCTCGTGTGTGTCATCTTCAAAAATGATACGGTAATAAAGATCCCCCTATAGTTCTATGTCTAATATCTAGTTTGCACTCTTTCTGAAGTAGCCCCAAAGTGATGTTTTTCTAGCATTTATAGAATCAGTAGTTTTTACACAAAATATAAGTGAATCTAGTGATATGTGTTTCGATATTGTGTATATCGATTCTACACCTGTGAGTTTCGATTGAAATTACATTGTATAACTTTATCAGAATGTCATATCAAATGGACTTTTTATCATGAAATTTTGGTTTCTTTTATTTAATTTTTTTGTCACTAACGTAAATACCTGAAGTTTGTATTCTTAATAATGTGATTAATTTCCAGTTTGAAAAATATTATGATTAATATTTCATAATACTCTGAATATAATTTAGTATTGAATAATTTTGCTATTTATCTTCAGTATTCATTTAACATAAACAATTAATATTTGAAATATATAAATGCTTACAAATTCCATTAAAAGGGTTAAAATGTCTTTCAGTTGCTTCGCTTTCCTGAAGCAGAGCTTAAATTTAAAGCATAAACTATAAATAAATCTTAAGAAGTCAACATAAAATGTTCATATTTCAAATAAGGAGTATCTTTAAACTGTTCGTATAACGGAAGTGTACTTTAAATACAAACTCATTGTCCCCCTAAATAATTATTTTAATTTCAGTTATGAGAATAATTGTATACATCTCACCTATTTTCTAATCGTGAAGGATCACTAAGATTAAATTTTAATTGCATGAATGTGAAGAAACTTCTAATTTGGTTACGGAATTAACCAATGGAGGCATAAAAGACAGACGTTATTGAAACCTTGATTTAAAAAAAAAAAAATCTTCAATATCTGTTTTTCAACTGCTTTCCTACGTTTGGCATTCGCATGCAAAAGCCCAAGTAGCATCTGTTCTAAATTTATCTCCAGTGTGTATTCGTAAAATTCACCTTAAAATTTTCTGTAATAGCCTAAAATTTTAGACGAAATTCAAATTTAACAGCTAGTATGAATGTAAAACTAAATACGAAAAATTTTACGCTTTTGTAGTTGAATGTCAATAATGTCCCCTTTTCATCTCTTTCTTGCGTTTTCTTTATCTTTTCTTCTGATTTTTAATGCATAACTCATGTATTGCAATTTTATTTGCAGGAATTTCGGTGCCAAATGCGCTAAATGTTCCCGGACAATCCATGCCTCAGACTGGGTGAGACGTGCTAGGGACCAAGTATACCATTTAGCATGTTTTGCGTGCGACTCCTGTAAAAGACAACTTTCTACAGGAGAAGAATTTGCCTTGCACGACAGTAGGGTACTGTGCAAGACCCATTTTTATGAATGCATGGACGGTGGGAATGGGTCAAATGACGGTAGGTGGGTCATTAACTTACTCTTCCGATTGGAAAAATGCCTGTTTAGCGTCAATATGTTAGATGACTGTTCCGTATTAAATAATAATTATGATTTGATTTAAAACTAGAAACGGAAAGGAATATAATACAGCTTTTCAAATATGTTGTTCTGAATACGAGGATTACAAGCTAAGATTCAGTATATTCGTCACTTATTTCGTACAGCACTGGGTTCGAAGAAATGTGTTTTAGCTCTAATGCATCAACCTTTTGATTTCTCGCTGTATAGAGGATCGTTGTACATGGAATCCAGTACATTCACTGCCTACTTCATATGGCATTGCAAGTAACATATAGATCGAGTTGCAGTAGTCTCATCATTTACATCATAAGCTAGGTAGATCATATCTGTTTGTTGTGCTTGAGATAACAGATGCAACTGACTGACAGCTTATGTTTACGTAAGAATTAAAATTCCTGGAAATAATTCTTAATTCCATTTGTTTTTATGTATTTCTGCCTAGAGTGCGGAATTCTTCGCTACATATTCGACAATTTTCTTTTGTTGTTGTATGGGAGTATTAAAAAAGCTCATTAAAACTTCGTTTTTCTTGCATAGTATATTCATTTGGTAACAAATTTGCATTTCAGAAAATGCGGAAGAATGTTTAAAGTTGAATGCTTAAAAGTTATATTCAAAATAACACACAATTAACTGCTTAAAATATATTTACAGATGATAGCCAAACTAGACACATTTGGCTTTATAAAGAGGAAATAATCAGTTAGTGTTTTTGGAAAATATTAACAGTGAGTAATTAATTCGTTTTGTGCGTGTGATATAAGCTTATAAAAATATGATTGTTTTATTATTATTTTTGTTGTTGCAATGACCATTGTAAAGTATATTACGATGCAAATAGCTCAAGGGAACTATCCTTGTAAACAGAATCACTTTAAGCACCTTTGATCGACGAAATTTTCACAGGGGCTTATACTGAATTTTTATAAAAATATGCAGCCTAACTAAATATCTAAACAATAATATTAATGAATGAAAATTGAGACATATATATGTATACATATTAGAAAACTGAAAATATTATTTGAATATTAGTACTGTTAAATGTTGCATAGCATATAAAGTAATGAAATGTTTACAGTTAAAAAATCTAAACTTCACTAGTTTTAAAGTCTTAAAGGAAAAGTTTCATAGATATTTTCATTTGTTCATTTATCTTAAGATGCTTTCTTAATCGCCTGTGGGTGAAAAGCTCTAAATTTATTCTAATATTACTGTAATGGTTTAGCTTTTAACACAGAAAACCGAAGCCCTATTGAAGTTTGTGAGTAAAGATGAAAAAATGGAAACAATAAAGTTTAATTTAATTACATTAAATGAAAATAAAAGAATGAAAATATTATTATTTTAAATTTAAGGAAATAATAAGTTAAAAGTAATCAGAAACATTAAAACATTAATAAGCAAATGAAGGTGAGGAAATTTAATTATAAGAAAAAACAACAAAAAACAGTTATTACACTGAAGATAAAAGAACGATATATTTACTTATTTTGGTATTTAAATAGCTAATGTTAGTAGCATTATAATTAAATGTTTTTTTCTCGCGCAGGTGCAGCGCGTGAGAAATTAAATAAACTAAGCCGGAAATTAAATCAGAGCGCGTGGTTCAAATACATATCTCTTTTTGATTCAGAAAGACTGGCAAATTCTCGCGCGTGATTTAATCTTATAAAAGAGGAAAACATCTCAGTTTTGTAGTTTTAGTTTGTTTTGTTTAGAAAACTGCTTTGTTGATTATATCGGAATTCGCGGTTAGCTTTTTAGCTTTTTTGAAAGTTCTATTGTACATTTGAGTAGTTAAAAGATAACTACTGTGAGATATTGTAATACTGCACGAATATCTGAGGAAATTTAAGCATATTTGTGGTGACAATAATAAATTTTGTTCATTTTTCATCGGACCTGTGCATTCATTTCTTAACGAACCCGTACGTACGCAACAATTTTTGGTGTGAGAAGTGGGATATTGAAGGCCAATCACAAGAGCGATGAAAGAACATTTAAAGCAATTCATGGCAGCCTTTGCTGCATTTAAAGAAGAGATGAAAGATTCCGTTAAAGAAGAGATTAAATCCATGAAAGACGAGATGAAAGATACCGTTAAAGATACCGCATTCATTTCTTAACGAACCCGTACGCACGCAACAATATTTACGATCAGTATTGTTCGCATTCAAAGTGCAATTGTATGCATTTGGTCAGCATGCACAGTCGATCATGAGAGAACAGAAGATGCGACAGTGCGCAGTTCGTATTGCTCTAAGTTCCTGATTTAAAATAAAATCAATAATTCTGTAAAAAGCTGTGTAGTTGAAGTAATTAAAAAGGGTTTTGGTATGCGATTGAGTTACAAAATAATAATTTCTTTTTCATAATTTAAGTTTGTAGCTATGTTTTACATGCATCGCAGGCTCTAAGGCGACGTTCCTGATATTTTATATAAAATTTCATCGATTTCAAGTGCGACTGGCTTAAATCTCTCCTCTTCGGCAGATACTTGCATCAGGTGGCCTTATATCCCCATGTATTTTATTTTATTCAAATTAAAGCTTGTATTGAAAAGACTTACACCCTGAATGGGCTTTTGAAATTATATATAATAATCAGATATACCGTATTTTTTCGCGTAATAGTCGCACTTTTCTTTGCCAATTTTTCATTGTGAAACTCTAAGTGCGACTATTATGCGGGGAAAATCTACTGTACAATATTGTACACTTTTGACGATTTTTTTTCTGCTTCAAAACAGGGGTGCGACTATTACGTGAGGGCGATTATTACGCGAGTAAAAAATACGGTAAATTCTTCTGCTCAAGCAAAGACTGGTTACTTTTTACCCAGCGAGTAGCTGGTTTCCGGTTTTGGATAATTTCTGTTTTAAAACTGATATTTAGGGAGTAAAAAAATATTCATAAGAATACAAAAATTCTAAAAATAGTGTCTTCGATTAATATGTGATAATGTTCAAGAGAAAATAGCATTCACTGCATCTTAGAAAGTACTTAATTGTATTCAACTTACGGTACAGTTGTAGAGAATTAGCGCGCCGTGTAAATTAGACATATTAATAATTCAAAGTGTGTACTTTTATGTTACTTTCGCTTGTGAGAACAACTTGCTTCTACGAGAATTAGAGATCTAAAACTGAGTTGGCGCTTTTGTGTCTATGCCTGGAGCTGCTCTGCTTAAGATTATATTTGGAATTTTTTATTTTTAAATGAAATTCATTTAAAATATTGTATTTATTTATTTATATATAGTAAGTCGTAAATTAAATGTATATATAGATATAGATATGAAAGAGAATAAAAAGGAAATCTAGCGTCGTTTTTTTTTTTTTTTTTTTTTTTTTTTTTTTTGGAAGTCTTTGAGATTTAAGTTTCCCAAACAATAAATTTTACTTTATTAAATTTATGTTAAATAAATTTCTTAGTGTCCTGCTCCAAACGAAAAGAATGTAACGACATTTAACCCATTGTGAACATGGAAAAAAAACAGGTTTTTATAGTGTTGTAGCTAAATTAAAGTTATTTGACTGTTAGAACTTACTAGAACTGTCAAGCGACTACTTCGCTAAGTTCTGTTGGATAAGCAACAACAGAAAGAGAATTAAAATACCTTTTTAAACTCAAATGTATTCACAGATGACCCCACTTGGGTGGACAAATAGCCAACGCTTATGGCTTTAACTTATAAGTAGAAAAAGTAAAACTAAACTAATTCTAAGCTGAATAAATCAGCTGAAGCTGCACGGACATATTCAACGCGTAGTTGGCTCACCGGCGTAGATTAAAAGGCAATTAATATGCACGGCCTTAAAATAGCAAGCTTTAACTGGCAGCGAAACAACGGGGCCGAAAGGCAAAACACGCTCTGTTTGACAGCTCAAAACTCAGCTAAAGTAGTGGTTTCTACACTACTTTATTAAAGCGCAAAACTAAAATCTCATTCTGGCAAGAAAGCGTAGGTTGGAAAATGAGGAAGGAAAGGATGTTTCTAAAATAAAAATAACTGTTAGAAAAAATAAAATAAAATCTTACAATAAAACGAAATCTTACAATCTTATTTTTTTTAAAAAAAATAGAAAAAAAGAAAGAAACGAAAAATTAAAAAAAAGAGAGAGAGAAAAGGAAGGAGATTACAACATGATCTTAGATGACTACGCATTAATATACTGATTTAAAGGTGGCTGATAGGAGATTTCGAACCACGTGCTTAAACTCTAGTGTTAAACAATGTATCTTTTTATCAATGTAGAATTTTTGCCAAAGCTACAAACATTAAAAGGGAAGAAAATGATGTAGCTCATACAGCTTAGTTTGTACAGAATGCATATGTACAGAATAGAAACTGCGAGCTTGAAAGAGATTTAAATGTATTTTTAAACAGCATAGCAGTCTGCGTAAAATTTTTAAAAAATCTTTGTATTCAGTCACTGCTGATTACGATATGGGCATTTTCAAAAATTCCAGCAGTGACCGATTCGTGTAAGAAAACATTACTTGAAATAACTCCAAAATTAAATATAACTATATTTAAAACTCCGAAAATTTATTAATTTCATATTCACCTTTTTGCACATTCTTTTAGAAATTCAGTTTAAATGATCTGTATTGTTAAACAATATACCTTTTTGTCGGTGTAGCATTTTTGCCAAAACTATTGTAGCTTTGGAAAAAGGATTACAGTAGGTCCACCAATGACCGAGTGGCTAAGACCACTGACAGCTCTAATTCACCTCGGGCTCAAATCCCGGAGAAAGGACTGCTTGCATGGGCATTTTTGTTGTTTCATCCATTTGTAGTGTGAATATGAGACAGTCTCTCTGTGAAACTCGTCCAAGAGGTATTTTTCCTCTTAGGCAGGTAGCTCCTGCTGCCTTGCCGTAATACGTAAAACAACAAAACAAGCAGTTCATTTATTACATCTGATG